TCTTGCTGATACTATAATGTGGAGCTCCCATACCCTCCCCTTGCTCGCGCTACGCGCTTCGGGAAAGCTGCCTTCGGCAACCCCATGTCGGGCTTACACATGGTAAAGGGCTAGCTACGCGCCTGACTGTATATAGTTATAAAGAGATTAAGACTTGTGTAAACTATATGGATACGGACGAATATAAGCTAATAGTAACGGTCAACATACTTGACATGGTATGAGATAGTGATTTAAGTCTTAGCACCAATTTGAACAAGAAGACACACACTCACGGACTAACTGACAACAAACAACAAGAGGCCACGTGTTTCCTTACCGGTAATGGCAAACAGCCACGTGTTCCACTGAAAACAACAACAAATGACCACGTGTGGTAATAAAGCTTATAAAAATGTATTTTGAGATTTGAAAGAAAAAGGTGCAATAATTAATCGATCAATTACACATAACCAGAATGAACATGATATAGACAGTACATATATATATATGCATGTATAATTGTGAGATCAACTGTTATTTTACACTGTACCTCTTTAAGACGAGTTTCTCACGTTATCGCGTGGTTCATACTTATAGTCAGGTACTAAACGACTGATTTGAAGGACACTCGACACTAGGGTCTTCATAGATCTCTCTTCTTTTTGCGCGAAAATTCTACCATCTCTTGTCCAGAATGCGTGAATTTTCCTGGCATACCGAAGTTTGTTCAACTCGCTTACTATGGCTTGTCGATGTTTGGTGAGTGACTCTACGATCATCGTCCGGTTGGCGTTCCTTTTAACTTTTTCTTCCTGTCAAAGACCATCTGCCTGTCGTAGTAACGTACAAATCTTATGATGACTGTTACTCTACCATCTGTAATTTGACCTAAGATGTGACATCTGGATATAGCATGGGGATGTATATCAATATCAAGAAGGCGGAGAATATCCAGCACGGCTCTTAATGGATCAAACGTGGAACTCGTTTCCCCTTCAGGAACAGGCACATTTAGAAATTTCAAGCATGTTCTCCTCGAATATTGTTCATGTTCGTCCAAGATATAAGTTTGATTTTCAATTTTCTTTTCCAGTAGCTTAATTGAATTCTTCAGTGTTACAATTTCGTTTTCGTTCACATCTATTTTCTTTTCTTTTACTTCCATGTCGACAACAAGTGGATCGGATTGGAATTTCTTTGCAACACAACACAACGGCTCATCATTAAACAAGACACACGAATCAAAACACTACCGAAAAATAAGTCAGCTAAAAGAATGATTGAAACGGGTTGTTATTGTATAAATTGTATCATGTGTCATATTATGTGTGTACTATGTCCATCAATGCATACTATGTAATATGTGACCTCTTGTTACCCACGTATACGTGTGGCGTGAGTGTAAAAATAAAACTCGAAAACTCGAAACTCGATAATATTAACGCGTAAGCTAATTATAGCTAAGAGTACTCAGTTGGCAAACCCAATACATTTTTAATTGTAGTATAGATAAAAAAGAACAAGAATATTTTAATCATTTCCAGAAAAGTGTTCTGACCAGAGTCGTAGAATGAGTGAGAGAGAAATAAATAATAATAATAAAAATAGAATATAGTAAAATACATGTACTGATATAGTGGTTTCTCGGTTAATACCCTCACGACGACATTTTACCTGCGACTCCATCAATGCAGTAACACTTTTATATACATGTACATATAGGACAGATAAGTTCAAATGTAATTGTAACGGAATCGGCAATAAAAGGTAATAAACACCATTTATTTAAGAACAAAAACAAAATTAATGTTTCTTAAAAGTGATAATTCCCTTTTGACTTTTGACTTTAAACATATTTTATCAACCAAAATTGGAAAATAGGATTTGGCACACGTTATTACAACCTATGAAGCCATCTTCTTCCAACACTAATTCAAAACAACAGATGATGATATAGACTGTCAATTACAATTCATAATAGTATGAAGCGATTTTTAAAGTAACACATACACATACAAAAAAAGACAAACATATTTTAAAGTCAAGTTCATAACCGAAACATGTTTTAAAAATAATTTCCTCTGCGAGCATAAGCTAAGCATGAATTACACCAACAGAATCGGTGACGTTTTGTTTGCACGTAGATACGATATCATTCTCTCGCACTAAAGTTTAAATTATATGTTGCTGTTTGACATTATAAGCAGAGAAGTATTCCGTCTTTTCGTATTGCAGAGTTATCTGCTCTTGTAAGCAGGTTTTGATTGTTACGTCATTTGTTTTTGAGAGTAACGTCATCAATTTTTGAGAAAACGACGTAATTTTCTCACACAAACCAATGACGTAACAATCAATACCTGCTCACAAGAGAAGATAACTCTGCAATACGCAAAGACGGAATAGTAATACATGTAGCACTAGCAATGGAATATGCTACATTATTAAAGCAATTCAACCTTTATCGAGACACAAACATGAAACAATTACGTGTCACAAAATGTTTCCGAGAGAAAAAGCAGATACCTGTACATATGAATAATGAATATTTTAACAAATATTGTTATGGTCATATAACACACATTTCTATTGCTGGCAAACTTACATAGAGCCCTGCCGGGCTTTAATAAGTTGGTCATCAATGGCAATAGAGATTTCTCTATTACTAAAAGTGTAAATATTGACCAAGTATCAAAGTTTTTGTGCGGAAACTGTCTACCAATCAGATAGCAGTAAGGTCATAAATTACGTGCAGGTTTTGCTAACCTTTGAGATACATGTAAGCCTTTGTCATTGTATAATATAAATCATGACTAAGTTCCATCAAAATCCGGTCATATTTGAACCAATCAGAATACGGTATTTTAATAAATTATGCGCAGATTTCGTTCAATCACAAACTTAGCCTCAGTCTTCATATAATATACCAAGTCTTAAATTGTACGATAATGAAGGTGATTACATGTAGCTTGCGGAAACTCAAGTTTGGAAATTAATCAATTAGAGCACAGTACGCTAAATGATTATGCACTGATTTTGCTCGAATTCAAATTTAACCTGTCTTTGTATATTGTACATACATACAAGGGTTTACCAACATTGAACAATATTTAAGCAACTTGTCTTGCGGAAACCATTGTATGGTCAGACGGACGGACGCTCCCATACCATAAAACGTCCGGTCAAAATTTGGACGGGCCTATAATAGCGTAATTAAAATTTGACAGTGTTTAAGAAACGTTCTTGTTGCACAACCAGTACGTGTTTATGTGTGACGTTTGGATGACATACTAGTACGGCTTGTACTCTGTCACCTTCATCAGACAAATGACAAGTGAAGTGTATGCACACATGTCACATGTTTAAACATGTCAATAGTTATCTCCCTTCGCAAAATCATACGCACATGCAATGTTAATCTGGTCAAATTCATCGGCAAATGAAACAGGTTACATTTGGTAGTTGCATTGAGTCCAACTTGAGTAGGAATTAAAATATAACGTCATAATTAAACGTTACCCGAATGCCTGCGGGTCTCGTTCAGCCATCCAATCTTCGACAGGAAAAAATAAATAATTCCTCAAAAACGGACGGTGCTACTATACTGCCCAAAACGAACGTAAAAAAATGGGCCGAACTTGCCCTGGTCTCCAATAATTGTTATGTCGGTCTTAAAATCTTATTAGAGCTTGTGTTTTGTTGTTATCCTTCGACTTGCCAACTTTATATAAGGCTTATCTTATCTCATTCTAAATCAGTAAATATCAGATATTAACGAAAGCTACGCTCAATTTAGACATTTTCTTTTCAAGTTGTCTTAGTTGTGTCCTGTTTGGTAACTCCGCTTATGACTATCCTAGTGACGGCTGTATTTACATGTTTTTTTTTTATGTGTGTCTTTTTTAATTTTCAAATTAGATTCTATTTACCCAGCATTTTTTTTACGTGTTCTAATGTTAGGTCGTGGTCGACATTTCGATAGAATGCCTCTTTTGACAATGGTCATCGATTTCCTTTATGAAGTCATTTCTGTTTTTCATTTTTCTTATTTACTATCTTTGACACATGTAAGAATGCTTCCAGTGCTTGAACTTTCGCGGGAGCAGGGTTCTAAAAGTACTCCTTTTTAAAATGTATTCGAAGATGGCTCTGTGCCAGACGTATCCCATTCGTCATAATTTGCAACTGTGCACACACAGGAAATCGCATGTAAAATGTCTCCATATTTAGAATCATTTCCGTATTGTGGAGATCTCGTGGTTAAGGACACTCACATTATAATCAAACTTACTCACGTTACTGAGACGTGAAATCGCGAAAATATCGTCGCCGCTGAAATATCCAAACATATAAAATTTAATCAAGCACAATTGTTTTTACAATGACTGGTTAATAACAGTACATGTCTGAAGATAGTAAATAGTGTGATTGTTCTTATAACATGTCTAATAAGTCATTTTGGCTAGACACATTTTATTTTCAAAGGTATATATGTATTGTGATTTTATTTGTTTGACACGAAAATAAAATATTTGAACTTTGAACATATCTACTAATAACAGGCCCCTGCGGTAATACAGTAGATCTATTAATTATTCAACATAACTGTACTCACACGAGTGTAACAATTAAATGGGTGTAACTACCTGATGTGCAGGAGGTCGCGTGCACCGGGTTTTCGGTCCACGTCAGTGACTTACTATCTTACAATGGAGCCGGAGGATTGCATACTGTTCTGCCTATCACGTTTATTTTCTACCCTCTTAATTGTGGAGGAAAAGGGTTAAACCATACGCACTTCAATTCAATTTGAAAAGTATACGCAGATTTAGAACCAAGCGGATGCTTTGTATGGTATCAGTGCTACATTGTGGTGGACACAAAGAATCTTTTGTATCAGGGTAAAGGAGTTCCCCTGATAACAGAGGTCACACGTCCAAAATAAAACTTCGAATACCGAAGTAGTTATGATAACAATCGGTATATATATATCAACTGACTAAATGAACAGATCAATAATATAAATGTACAGGTCGATCTCTTAACATCCAGAGGGACAAGTAGAATCGACAGGAATGGACGTCGGCAAATTTACACACATACCGGTAAGTCATTTTCGAGTTCATCAATATTTTCTCACCATATTTAACAGATGAGACGGTCTATACCATTATTATTTCCAATTGAAACAGATTAAAATTTCCTCAAACTAATTCATCTCCAGCTGCTGGCGTAAATAATGACTGGTGACACATACTAGTATACACAACATAAGGAATGACATTATGTTACCAAAATATGTAGTGACATTATGTTACCAAAATAAGTAGTGACATTATGTTACCAAAATAAGTAGTGAATTTATATAACCAAAATAAGTCGTGACATTATGTTACCAAAATAAGTAGTGACATTATATACACATCATAAGTAATGACATTATGTTACCAAACTAAGTAGTGACATTATATACACATCATCAGTAGTGACATTATGTTACCAAAATAAGTCGTGACATTACATACACATCATAAGTAATGACATTATGTTACCAAACTAAGTAGTGACATTATATACACATCATAAATAGTGACATTTTTTACAAATCATAAGTAGTGACATTATATACACATTATAAGTAATGACATTATATACACATCATAAGTAATGACATTATAAACACATCATAAGAAGTGCATTATATACACATCATAAGTAGTGACATTTTATACACATCATAAGTAGTGAAAGTAATGACATTATGTTACCAAAATAAGTAGTGACATTATATACATTAAATACACATCATAAGTAGTGACAATATATACACATCATAAGTAATGACATAATGTTACCAAAATAAGTAGTGACATTTTATACACAATTATATACACATCATAAGTAGTGACATTATGTTAACAAAATAAGTAGTGACATTATAAAAATATCACAAGTAGTGACATTATATACACATCATAAATAGTGACATTTTTTACAAATCATAAGTAGTGACATTATATACACATTATAAGTAATGACATTATGTTACCAAAATAAGTAGTGACATTATATACATTAAATACACATCATAAGTAGTGACAATATATACACATCATAAGTAATGACATAATGTTACCAAAATAAGTAGTGACATTTTATACACATCATAAGTAGTGAAAGTAATGACATTATGTTACCAAAATAAGTAGTGACATTATATACATTAAATACACATCATAAGTAGTGACAATATATACACATCATAAGTAATGACATAATGTTACCAAAATAAGTAGTGACATTTTATACACATCATAAGTAGTGAAAGTAATGACATTATGTTACCAAAATAAGTAATGACATTATTTACACATCATAAGTAGTGACATTATATACAAATCATAAGTAGTGACATTATGTTACAAAAATAAGTAGAGACATTATATACACATCATAAGTAGTGACAATATATACACATCATAAGTAATGACATTATGTTACCAAACTAAGTAGTGACATTATATACACATCATCAGTAGTGACATTATGTTACCAAAATAAGTCGTGACATTACATACACATCATAAGTAATGACATTATGTTACCAAACTAAGTAGTGACATTATATACACATCATAAGTAATGAGATTATATCCACATCATAAGTAGTGACATTATGTTACAAAAATAAGTAGTGACATTATATACAAATCATAAGTAGTGACATTATGTTACCAAAATAAGTAGTGACATTTTAAACACATCATAAGTAATGACATTAAATACACATCATAAGTAGTGACAATATATACACATCATAAGTAATGACATAATGTTACCAAAATAAGTAGTGACATTTTATACACATCATAAGTAGTGAAAGTAATGACATTATGTTACCAAAATAAGTAGTGACATTATATACACATAATAAGTAATGACATTAAATACACATCATAAGTAGTGACAATATATACACATCATAAGTAATGACATAATGTTACCAAAATAAGTAGTGACATTTTATACACATCATAAGTAGTGAAAGTAATGACATTATGTTACCAAAATAAGTAGTGACATTTTATACACATCATAAGTAGTGACAATTATATACACATTATAAGTAGTGACATTATGTTACCAAAATAAGTAATGACATTATTTACACATCATAAGTAGTGACATTATATACACATTATAAGTAATGACATTATATACACATCATAAGTAATGAGATTATATCCACATCATAAGTAGTGACATTATGTTAACAAAATAAGTAGTGACATTATAAAAATATCACAAGTAGTGACATTATATACACATCATAAATAGTGACATTTTTTACAAATCATAAGTAGTGACATTATATACACATTATAAGTAATGACATTATGTTACCAAAATAAGTAGTGACATTATAAACATATCACAAGTAGTGACATTATATACACATCATAAGTAATGACATTAAATACACATCATAAGTAGTTGCATTATATACACATTATAAGTAGTGACATTATGTTACCAAAATAAGTAGTGACATTATATACACATCATAAGTAATGACATTATGTTACCAAAATAAGTAGTGACATTATATACATATCATAAGTAATGACATTAAATACACATCATAAGTAGTGACAATATATACATATCATAAGTAGTGAAATTATGTTACCAAAATAAGTCGTGACATTATATACACATCATAAGTAATGACATTATGTTACAAAAATAAGTAGTGACATTGTATACACATCATAAGTGATGTCATGATATACACATCATAAGTAGTGACATTATGTTACCAACATAAGAAGTGACATTCTATACACATCATAAGTAGTGACATTCTATACACATCATAAGTAATGACATTATATACACATCATAAGTAGTGACATTATATACACATCATAAGTAGTGACATTATGTTACCAAAATAAGTAATGACATTATTTACACATCATAAGTAGTGACATTATATACACATCATAAGTAGTGACATTATGTTACCAAAATAAGTAGTGACATTCTATACATATCATAAGTAGTGACATTATGTTACCAAAATAAGTAGTGACATTATATAAACATCATAAGTAGTGACATTATATACACATCAAAGTTATGACATTATGTTACCAAAATAAGTAGTGACATTTTATACACATCATAAGTAATGTCCTTAAATACACATCATAAGTAGTGACATTATATACACATCATAAATAATGACATTATGTTACCAAAATAAGTAGTGACATTATATACACATCATGAGTAGTGACATTATGTTACCAAAATAAGTAGTGACATTATAAACACATCATAAATAATGACATTATGTTACCAAAAAAGGTAGTGACATTTTATACACATCATAAGTAATGACATTATATACACATCATAAGTAGTGACATTATGTTACTAAAATAAGTAGTGACATTCTATACACATCATAAGTATTGACATTATATACACATCATAAGTAGTGACATTATGTTACCAAAATAAGTAGTGACATTATATACACATCATAAGTAGTGACATT